ACCATTCCCGTGGCCGCAAAGTGCCCCGAGATTTTGCGACAAAGGAAAAAAAATCTTCCGGTAGTTTTCAGTTACTGGAAAATTTTCTTGTGCTGTTACACATCGTTTCTGCTAAGGTCCAGAAGCAGCCGACGCTATCTGAGCAAATGGGACCAATCAGACACCGTCAAAACCGAAAGTCACTTGCCCTCTCCTGTTATATATGATTGGTTCAGCAATAATAGAACACGTACAGAAACAGGCGAGCATCATGATGGTGTCTTTTTGACTCTGTCTGATTGAGGACATCAGCTCTTAGCATCGGCTGCGTCTGGGGTGAAACGACGGTGTAACGTTAGTTATACATTTCTGTTGGTCGTGGGCCTGCTTAAGGACAGCTCATAAAATTTTAACTGTTTTATTTGTTCTGTGTTTGTCCGCCCCTCCTCCCCCTTGCGCCAGCTTTCCTTGACCCTTGCTTTAGACTTCACCACGTGGATCTACCGTCAGGCACGTCAGGCCTGACGTGCCTGACGTCAATGTTGAAAGTTGGAAGTACATATACCAGTTTTAGTATATGTACTTCCAAAGTGCATATACACCAACTCAACTCTCCTACGTCACGCCGCGGTGGTGGCGCGCCGGACGCACTTCCGGTCTAGGGCGGTGGGCAGAAGTCGCCGTGCCAGACATGCATTCCTGTGTTCCTTTGGAAGAAACGAGACAAAAAATGAAAGCCGCTTACAACTCCCTGTAACGCCGAATTAGAGCGCAGCTCTTGAGGAGGAGGAGGGAAGGGCACTGGGGGGGGGGGGGGTTAAACTAACCAGGGAGGGGGTCATGGACCTTGGGGGTCACGTGACCCCCAATGCCGATGATGTCATCACTGACGTCACTGATGACGTCATCAGTGACGATGGCGATGCGGGTACCGATGACGTCATTAGTGACGTCACTGATGACTTCACCAGTGATGATGACGATGACGATGCGAATGTCGGTGACGTCATCAGTGACGTCGCTGATGACGTCATCAGTGATGATGATGATGACGATGCGGATGCCGGTCACGACATCAGTGACGTCACTGATGACGTCATCAGTGATGATGACGATGACGATGCGAATGTCGGTAACGTCATCAGTGATGATGACGATGACGATGCGGATGCCGGTGACGTCATCAGTGATGATGACGATGACGATGTGGATGCCGGTGACGTCATCAGTGATGATGACGATGACGATGTGGATGCCGGTGACGTCATCAGTGATGATGACGATGACGATGTGGATGCCGGTGACGTCATCAGTGATGATGACGATGACGATGTGGATGCCGGTGACGTCATCAGTGATGATGACGATGACGATGCGGATGCCGGTGACGTCATCAGTGATGATGTCGATGACGATGTGGATGCCGGTGACGTCATCAGTGATGATGACGATGACGATGTGGATGCCGGTGACGTCATCAGTGATGATGACGATGACGATGTGGATGCCGGTGACGTCATCAGTGATGGTGACGATGACGATGTGGATGCTGGTGACGTCATCAGTGATGATGACGATGACGATGCAGATGCCGGTGACGTCATCAGTGACGATGACGATGTCGATGCCGGTGACGTCATCAGTGATGATGCCGATGACGATGTGGATGCCGGTGACGTCATCAGTGACGATGACGTCATCGGGGGGTCACGCGACATCGGCGGGGGTCACGTGACCTCGGGGGGTCACGTGACCTCGAGGAGGGGGTCACGTGACCTCAGGGGAGTCACGTGACTTCGGGGGGTCACGTGACCTCGGGGGGGGGGGGTCATGTGACCCCCCACAAGGTCACGTGACCCCGGTGGGGGACTCGCGCGGTGCATTATGGGACATTTCCCATGATGCACCGCGCGGTTACGCCGACGGCGACGGCGACGGCGACGGCGACGCCGCTCAAGCCGGGAACGGGCCCCTAAGAGCTGCGCTCTAAAAACCTGCCTTTTTGTAAAAATACTGCGACGGGGGCTGTACCAAGAGAGTGTGGAAAGGTTTGAAGATCAGTTTTCATGTGTTTTTGCCCCCTCCGTTCGTCCAAGAACGTGGATAGTAGCCGTGAAAAGGGCAAACCAGACGCTGTCGAACTACGATTGCGTGTGCAGGCAACACTTTGTGGTCGCCAGATGTATTTGCTTTGTTCCAACATGAACGAGAGAAAACCGCCAAGTTGTCCGAACCACCCGCGGGTTCTGTGCGTCTTCAAATTCACACGGCCGCCTGATCGTTCGAACTCTCGTCTGCTCTTTCAAACTTGTCTGCTTTTTGTCGTCTGCTCGTTTAAACAAAAGCGGCCCGTAGAACAAACTTTGACCCAGTGATTGCAATAAGAAGTAATTGCAGGCCTCAAAAGACTTGAGTAGGCTCGGTGTAAACAGTAGATACAAGATGTTGATCATTGGTACCGGTGGCCATCACCGACTTGTTACGCTTGGTCTGTTCCCGCTTCCGATTTTCAGTATCGACGTCGATCGTCGACCTACGTTCTACACTTTTTTCAGCACGAGCGACGTCGCTACCTAAAATAGCTAGAAGAATCTCATCATGGTTTTGGCGTCCATTCTGCGGCGTTCATGCGAATGAATCGCTGCACGTCAAATTATTTACGGAATGTTTAGCGGCGTAACGAGCCTTGATAATTTCGCTCAGGCTATTAAAGTGGCAAGACATTGCGATGAGGACGTAGAATCGATAATTCCAACGCAAAAAAGAGTATGCAGAGTCACACAGACGCCGACAACGTGACATTCGAATGGTTTGTTGACGCGGGACGCGGTGCTTCTTGCCCGTACTCCATTACGCATGCGTTCGAACTGTCGTCTGCTCTTTCAAACTTGGCTGCTTTTTGTCGTCAGCTCATTCAAACGACAGCGGCCCGTAAACCAAACGTTGACCCAGTAATTGCGATACGAACTAAGTGCAGGCCTCAAAACACTTTTGAAGTTTGGTTGGGGTAAGTGCTAAGTGTGAACAGATACAAGAAGATGTTGATCATTATTGTTACGAGTGGCCATCACCGATTTGTAATGCCCGATTCTACTTGCGGTTTTCAGTATCGACGTCCACCATCTCAGATACGGTCCACGCTTTTGCAGTCCGAGCAACGTCGCGTCTGAAAACAGCGAGCAGAATCTCATTGTGGGAGTCAGGCTTTAGCGCCCATTCTGCGGCGTCCACGTGAAATGAATCGCCGCGCGTCACATTATTTACGCAAAGTTTTGCCTCGTTAGTTTTGCTGAACCTGCTCAAGTAGTCAGACATTGTTATCAGGACGTAGAATCAACAATTTCAACGCAAAAAAGAGCACGGGGACTCCCACCGACGCCGACAACAACGCAATTCAATGGTTTGTTTATGGGCGACGGCGGGCTTTTTGCCCACCATCCACCGCGCATGCGCGGCGCCGGTGGCATCCGCTAGGGGCGCTCCGGTTTGTTTGTAAACATGAGTTGGTGTATAGTAAAATCGGATGACTTTGTTTCATGGCCCGGTTTTGCGTCAATGTTGAAAGTTGGAAGTACATATACCAATTTTAGTATATGTACTTCCAAAGTACATATACTAAAATTGGATGACTTGTTTCATGGCCTGGTTTTGCGTTTGAAACTTTCAACAAAAAGGCCATGGCAATTTTAGCAAGCCAGGTGATATATACCTCAGAAGCCAGAGCGTGCCTGACAGTAGATGCATCTACTGTCAGGCACGTCAGCAATAGCTGGTACCAACTGTCAACGCTGAATCTAAGCAAGAATATGGCTGTAGTGTTGTGAATCTAAATCGATGCTGCGTATTCTATGGAATACACTGCAGTTCTCCGTTACTATGGTAATCGCCATTTCAGCGCCTTCAAACCTTCGAGGCTTCAAGAGGCTTCTTTCTAATCCAGTCGCACAAAGATCACCAATGGGGCATCATCGTACTGAAGGCGTTCCTCACCTTCAGTATGTGTGAAATCAACTTATCAATCATGCCCATCTCCACGGATCTCTTACAATAGAGAGTTTTTGTAGACCGCGTTCCCCCCTCCGCTAAGTCCTGTGCAACGAAGAAGCCGTTGCTGCGCATGCGCGCCGATTGCCTCGACTGAGGAGTTCCAGGTGTCGTAGCGGGCTGCGGAGAGCGTGTCGGGGCGGTGAAAACTGTCTTCGAAAACTCCCTAAAGACATTCTTCTTCCCGTGTATTTCGAAATAGAGATTATTTTTTAATGGCTCCAAGCACCGACACCGCATTTGGTGGTGCACGTGCGAAGATGTACGCTTGTTTGGACGGTCCGTGGAAAGCAAAATGTCGGCATCAAGAAACCTCTCTTTAAAGCTGCCCGTCACCAGCAAATGTAGATCGGCAAACCAAGAACGGAGGCGTGATGAAGAAATGGCTAATTTCATGATCCGAAATGGCAACCATACGGGGAGCTCGGCGCTCTACTTTTTCATGATCCAGTTACTTTAATCCATATTTTCTATACTAACGTTGCTCAAATTGACGCTTATGCGGAAGGCAAGTTCGTCTGCTACTCGCGCAGGGGTTGCGGCAACATCAGAACGCCGAGCTCTGATTAGCTCGATTGGAAGGATAGTGGGTAGACCCCAAGGCAGCCAGCATTGAGGTCTACCCACTGCCCTTCCAATCAAAGCCAATCTAAACTCGGCGTTCTGACGTCACCGCAACCCCTGCGCGAGTAGCAGACGAACTTGCGCTCGGCATTTATTGTGGACGGATAGAAACTGTGGCCGAGGACTAAATGAGAGAGCGCGCTAGGACGTCAGAGCAGATGAGGACGGCAGGGCGTCTTTCGAACGCCCCGCATCGAGAACGCTCCGACTGGAGAGAGACGGCGAATAGAGACCAAGACAGACAGCGTTTGCGTCTGCCCACTAATCCTTCCAATCAGAGCTCGGCGCTCTCATATCCTCGTCCTCAGTTTCTCACCACATGGTATCCCCCGGGCTGGAACCTTCGAGGACGCTCAGTCGGTGACGTCTGCGGCACGCAGCTCAAACACGCGGTCGTAGAAGCGGTCGTAGATCCTGCGGATGATGATGATCTCGTCCACCAGCGCCTGCGTGACCATCTGGACGAAGGCGAGCAGGATGACGAACACCAGGCACAGGCCCGTGATCAAGGTCACGTTCTCGCGCACGAAGCGGTGGCCAGCGTCCACGCAGTTGCCCGTGTAGATCTTAAACCAGGCGTCGTAGTCCGTCTGGTTCAGCACGCCCTGGCCGCAGTACAGGCTCACCACCTGCTCGTGCACGGGCGGGCCGCTTGTGAACCTCGCGCCAAGAAGTCGGAGGCTATAGTCAGAGCTCTGTTAGGGTTGCATATAAACGAATCCGACGCTGTAAAATGATTCGAAAAAATCAGAGCCTGCAAATAGAAAGCTGAAACTTTCAGCGAACGTGCACTGAGCAGGCCAGTTTTACCGTGTTACGCTTCAGTTACGAGGATGTATGAATGTCGCCAAGTTTCCTTTGGTCAAACCTTGTCGGCGTCAAGGTCATCGACACGGGCAGTCAAAGCCGAATACGCAGTCTCGCCCAGCCACGCGCATCAGCGTCCCACATGTACAAGGAACAAGCGAAGTGCTGGAACGTGCGCTGGCTAGAGAAGGAATTCAGATGGTCCACAAGCCAGTATCGACACTTAGACGGCTTATGCAACGACCAAACGATCGCTCCCCTAAAGAGCGAACGCAAGGTGTTGTGTGTACAAGATTCCCTGTGCGGATGGTCCAGTTACGTATATCGGCGACACCAAAAGCTTTAGGGGAGAGCGTCTGCCCGCTCCAAAACAACATTCGCAATTTCGATCCCGAGCGCTGAGCGGTCGCTGAACACTGCGACGTCTAGGACGTCCGGATTGACCCCAAGAACACCCGCATCCTCAGCGTTGAAACCAGAGTGTTATTACAATAAACGCTAGAGGCTCAGCTGGTGCTAGTGTCTACGGGACTTCCGGTTGCAAATTGAAGCAGACAGCATGCAGTCTACTTTTACAGTCTTCCTGTGTATTCCTGTGGGAAAACGCGCGTGAATTTTGTCTCGTCGCCGGAAAATAACGAGAATAACTTTCGTTACTTTGGTTGTACCGGGTAGTGTGTACCTTTATTAATATTGTGAAAGTGTAATTGCTTTGGTTACAGCATTTTTTCTTTACCACTGAACGATGCTAAACTTCGCTATATTTCAGGTCCAAACCTGTTCCATGGCAGGTATGTAAAAACGAGCGACGATTCCAAGCAAAATAACAATCGAAAGGGATGTAGAGTGTATTAAAAGTCCGCCAGCATTCCGTTGGTGCTTATATATTGCTAATATGCCCGTCCTCTCACTATACAAAAATGACCCCGTCCGTACATCTTCACTGTTTAAAAAAAAAAAAAAACGTTCGAAACGTAAAGAAAGGACGTGGACTACGAAAGGTGTATTTTCTTATTATTTCCTATGTTGGGCAGTTTTTATCTTGCACCTGTACTCTGGCTTCCCTCTGTTTGCAAAGATTTGGAGCGTGCGGGTGATGATTTGAACACAGAATAAGAATCTTCGCACATATTCATGAGCAGAAAGAATAAAGCAGTACTTATTTATTGGAAATCGGACTTTCAATTTATTTTGATCGTCTGCAAGCACAAGGAGTTACTTACCCAGTGTTACTGCGTAGTTCTTGCTCTCTCTTGGTTTTCCACATGTCCTTCGTTCGTTTGGCACGTATATCCCCCATGCTAGAAAGCGTCGACGCCGTGTTCGCGCTAGCAGTGTCCGACAGTGCACATAAATACATGTACTAAGCGGTTTTAACACCGTTTTTAATGCCGCGCATTTCAAATAAAAATGCTGTAACTGACCGATTATTTCGTCTGCGTGACTGAGAAATGTTCCAATGTGCCTAGTACGTACAAATTATTCGTGATATTTGCTCTTGTAAACGAGCGCCGAGAGAAAATGCACTCGCTTTTTCCCATAGAAATGCATTACCGGAGTCAATTTCTGACTGCATGCTGTCTGCTTCAAAATGCAACAGCACACTAGCGCCAGCTGAGCCTCTAGCGTTTATTGTAATAACTCTGTGATTGAAACTAACCACTGACAAAGACTTTTTTTAAGATTCATGGCACATTGGTTTCGCGATGCTACCAACCCATAGAGATATGCGCCATCTTAGAAGAAAAAAACAGGAAATACTACATCTCAACGGCCATCGCCAAAGTCACTCCCGAAGAAGAGGCCGACGGGCCCCGGAACGCCGGGTCCATTTTCAAATTAGTGCTTGGTTGAAACCCGCTTCTTCCTTCAATAGACCATTCGCTATATTACCCAAGCATCAAGGAGAATGCAGGGATTGGTGTTCCACGCGCTGCACGCGCGTGCCTTCCCCGTATAAAAGATTCGAAGTAAATAACCAAAATAAAGCATTGACGAACGCGCGTGCAAGATACGATTTGTTTTAGGTTTTTGCTTTCGAAAATTTACTACTGCTGAAGCCAGCACATGCGGCACGTGGAACACCAATCGCTGCATTCTCCTCGATGCTTGGGTAATATAGCAATTGGTCTATTAGTCTTGCACCAACCAAACATCTGTCGAATGTTCACTTTCGAATTGGTAAAAGTTGACCTATAACCAATTCGTTTGTTCCTTGTATAACCTATGTTACGTGACCTCAGGTCACGTGACATCAGGTTCTCCGCTAATTGTCTTTGTTGTTGTGTTTTTTTCGTTTTTTTTAGAGGGGAAATGATTTGGTGTCCAGGTCAATTTCACTCGCTAAATTAGGCGGGCAATGGACGGACGGACGGTTGGACAATATTTTGGGATATCGAGGTTGGGGGTTATTAAAGAGGAATTTCCTACTTTCAAAAATGCAAGTGTCACCTGCTCGGATGAGTTCTTCTTGCAGCAGGAGTAAGGCACCGAGCAACGCTCGCTGCTCGGATTGGACCGCGAGCAGTTGAAGTACATGTTGTCGTTCCAGTCACGGAAGTCCTTTTGCGAGATGCCGCAGCACTGGAGCTCCACCTGCGACGGCGCGCGCGCCGTACCCCCGTCGTCTTTCACTGATGCACGGTCACGTGACCACCTCCAGAAATGCGCGGTCGCGAGCTAGCAGAAAGTCTCGCGGAACCCTCATCTCTGGAGCACTCACAGGATAAAGCCTGGTTCAGACAGTTGCATTCGACTGCGTTTGTCTGCATCGCGGCTGCGAAACACTATGGACATCCCTGCTGGTTATATTGCGTGCGAAGATGATGCTTTGAATTGGATTCCACGCTTCATACGAAGCACAGATGAGCCGGTGACTCACTTTCGGTTCTGGACGCAACACAGTCAAATGCACTCAAATGCAAGTGTCTGAACCGACCTTTAGAACGACAGGGTGTCTGTGTCGAATGCCTCGCCTCCAGCACGTGCCTTCCGTCGTGCTTTGGTTGCGCATGGACGCTCGAGGCTCGCGAAAACGCCAAAGCGTGGTCGAAGGTAGGAAATTCGTTCTGGCTGAAAGTACTGCCGTTCTCATCCCGCCAGCGACTATTGGCGACCCCAGCAAGATCTGCGGCACCCAGCCGCTAGGACAGAAAACATTGGCGGCAGGTATGGGTTCGCTCACCAGCTTTCTCGAACCACGGCGCCTGGCGGTCTAAAAAAAAAAAGTAGGCTCGAAAACTCGCGATGAAAATCGTTAGTGGTCCCACTTGAGCGGCAAACACCAACCACCGGCCACGACCAACCACTTGAGCATGCACGAAGCGAAGGTTAGATTGGGCAGAATTGCAATCACCCGTGTTTAGTTCACAGCACCAAGGACGTGCAGATTGCACGTTAAAAAAAAGTACCATATCGAAGAATATTTTAGATTACCTGAGTAGGTCAAAGTAACTTGAATTACAGACTAAATTCATAGGTTAGACGGTTACAAACAGATTATAATAGTGGGGAGGTGCAAATGTTTCCGGGCTATACTCTTTTTTTGCACTAACTTGGCAATCAGCAAGCGGGACGGGCCCCTCGAGCCAATCAGAGCGACGCACGTGACTAAACTCACCAAAGGTACACGGTCGAGAGCCTAACCCAAGCGGTTGGAGAAGAGGGAAAGGAAAAACTCCCCTCTTAGCCTCTTTTGTGGGTCCCAGCAACTAGTCCCAGACGTCGCTTTCCTCTCCTTCTGAGATCACTCATATGTGTACCATGGCGGCTTCCTTCGCTCTCCCGGTCGTGGTTTCGACGGTGCTGCGCGCAGTTGTGAGATTCGCTCACAACTCACTGATTGGTTCCATGGGATCGCAGCCTTCGTCGCTTGTCAAGTTACCCACACATATATCCCCGCACCTGCACGCTGTCGATGAGCTTCTGTAGGTCCGCGCTGTCCCGGTAATGGACGACCAGGTTGCGCGTAAGCGTGCTGCGCAGCATGCGCTTCAGCTGCGTGGGCAGGAAGAAGACAAGCACGCCCAGGGCGAGGTTCAGGAGCAGCAGCGCCGTGATGAAGTACGAGTAGGTCAGGAGCAGGCAGGTGTTCTCGCGCAGCGCCCCCACGCAGCCACAGAAGGACAACGAGAGCAGCGTCAGCCCCAGGAGGACGACGGTCGCCTCCAGATTCACCACGAGCACGCTGCAGAGTATACCATAGCAATACAGGCGCTTGCTTATATTTGCTCTAAGGTACTCTGCGAATCAAGGACGAGGAGAGCGATTAGCTTTATGCTGTGAAACTGCCAGTGTGGGGGCCTTGAGCTTTTTCATGCTGTCGATGTGGCAGCGCTTTCTTGAGGCCTCCAGCATCATGGACTTTTTTTTTCTTGGGAATGAATAAACATTATTATTCCCGGCGTTACCAAAGCGGCAAGATTTTTCCAGTGTTACCGCCGGTAAGATCTTGTTAGCTCGTCAAGTACATTCGAACATTACAACAGGTTTACAGAAGTTCTAAATTCTTGGAGACGCAAATGTATAAAAAAGGTAGGAGGTAAAAAAAGAAAACCAGACGAACCGTGGTTGGATGGTGACATCTAGGCAGCAGTTAAGGCAAAAACAAAATTGGCATGGACTCGCAACAGGAATAACTCAAAAAGTAAGCAGCAAAGGTAAGAATTTAAGATAGCCAGAAACCGTGCTAACGTCATGCTACGTTCGGTAAAAAAAATACATTAAAAATTATTTCGTGAATCATCGCATAACTTGGCCACGGGATCCCTGTTTAGGCAACCTCTCGGAATTGGAGGCTCGTTTTTGAACGTGATGTACTATTTCTTGTCAACATCTTTAATACATACCATAGTTCGCTTTGTTTTCGGGAGTTGTCAAAGATAAGGGGGAAAGGACCCTAACATTACAGAAAATCATAGCTCCGTCGGCTTTCCTTCCGTGCTTGGACAGGCAGCAGTTACATTCTTTAATGTCAGTCCTGAGCTCCAACAAATCGGCCGGTAGTGACATCATTGGTATGGGTGAGCTCCTATGAAACTTGACGCCATTTCTAGTGTGTTGCTCATTATTTTAAACAAAATACTACAGACTGCATACAATACAACCTGAAGACTGCAATGGCTAAGCCGCTATTTAAAGGTGGGACTGCAGGAAATTTTAAAAGTTATCGCCCGATATCAACCTTGCCTTCGTTGTCTAAAATTTTGGAAAATCATCTGTTCACCGTAACGACCTCGTTCTTTGAGGTGCATACAGCCTTACGGCAGCCTGCAAAAAAAAAAAGTTTTGTCAAGGGTTGCGACACACAGCCTTTATTGGAAGAGCTGTCGAACGTGCTAAACACCGGTTTTGACATTAATTAAATTTCGAGTGCTTTGTTTCTAGATGCCTCCAAGACGTTTGACACGGCTAGTCATAAAATGCTACTTCAAGAACTTAATCTTTATGGGTTCAGAGGCCTATTTATTTCACTACTTGTTAATTTATGATCTAACCGGTCTCAGAGGACTTTGGTAGGTGACACAAAAGTTCTAGAGCTTGGCTGAGACCGGGAATACCGTGGGGTTCTGTTTTGTCGCCTCTATTGTATAACGAGGTGCAATCTTGTAGACACAACTGTACCTTTTATCAGCACGGGTATCACACCCTGCTTTGATCTTGTTATATGCAATATAGTGCCGCGATAGATACACTGCAGGATGACGCTACACACTTGTTGGTTTGGTATGTGTCGAACGTCATTGATATTAATTGCTCAAAAACAAGACTTGTCTATTTTTCGAACCCGCTAAGGAGTGTTTGCCTAATAGGGCTTTGATTCTGCATACGACATGTTGTTCCATTGTACATGTGTTCCCGTTGAATATGTTTGTGATTTTAAGTAGATGGGAATTCGGATTTATCCTGTAACAGGCAAATGACAGATATATGCAAAAGAATGAGAAGAGTATCCAGTCTATTGTATTCTAGTAAAGTGTTTGTCCCGATGTCGATTAGGATACTTTGCAGACTTTGGGATACCGTATTTTAAGGTATGGCATTACTTTATTTGGCAACTGCCCCAGGCGTTGGCATAACATGATTGATTGTGTACTGAAAGGTACGCTGAGAAGCGTAGCTTACAGCTCAGATTGTCTTGCACAGGATAACTTGTTAAAATCGCCTCAGTTGGCTCATTTTGAGACCCTATTCAAACACACCAGTTTGAACTGCCCTGAAGAAGAATGCGTTGTGTAGAAGGCGTAGGATATTCAATGAGCTTCAGGAAGACTTATATAACATAGAGTCAGTGCAAACATTAAAGAAATCTCTCAAGTGGATCATCCCAATCTTTTGGGGTGGGCCACTTGAGAGAGTTCTTTTATTTTTAGATACTTTTATTTTGCTTTTTGGTTTTATTTCATATGATGTTTTGTGTTTCCCTCTAAGTTCGCTGGCAGTGTGGTGTCACATGCTGTGAGTAATCAGACTGAATTTACTTTTTTTACTTATGTAGATCCGTACGAAAACAAACAGTTTTAGCACATTTAATTTTCTGTTTGACTCTTCAAGAGAAGCATGCTCATTAAGTTAGTGTTCATCATACAAGCCCTATATATGGCTTTGATGAACCAGTGTCTTTACCTGTGTTATGTGTTTATGCAATGAGCATGTATTTATTATTATTATTATTATTGTTATTATTATTATTATTATCATTATTATTGATATTATTAACTCAAACTCTGTATCTTGCAAGTGTGTTGTTCCTTTAGTGTATGTTGAATCTGTAAAGTACTTAGGAATTTTGTTCGACTGCCGTTTAACTTGGAATGCTCCAACTCACGTCCCCCTGTAAGAAATTGAGGAGTGCTTGTTGTCTGCTATATAATACAAAAATCACTTATGCCTCTCTCAGTTCGCAGACTAGTAACCCATCCTCTTGCATATAGTGTGTTACGGTATGTCGTTACGGTGTTTGGAAACTGTTCCGGCTTCTGGCATGAGAAAATTGACTGGATTTTTAAAAAAATATTTTGAAGAGTGTTTGTTATCGCATGCAACTTCCCGATGGTACTGATCTCTTTCAACATTTATAATTTCCCTGTCTCCGTTGCTTTTAGGCAGATCAATTCAAAATAAAAACGTTGCTCTTCGTTCGCTTCGCTTTCAAGAGACTTTCGAGATACCTTTTGCCCGAACAAGACACGCGAATTTTACGTGCCTGAACTTTTTAATAATCTGCCTTCTGAAATTCTACAAGCGAATTCACTGCGTCAACTGAAGAGAATGCTGAGAATTCACTTACTGGGTCATTCCATGTCAAACGTCCCAGACGTTGCGCTCGACCCCTTCCGATTTCTAATAAAAAAAAGAAATCATGGCTTTTTGGCGCAATGTCCCTAGCAATGCCCTGAAATAGTTTTGCCGGAAAAAAAAAAAGTTTGATGACGTGAGCGCTGTTTTAACTTTTAAAAACAGCGTGAAACTAGGCATCACTCGATAATCGATGAAAAATGAGCTTTTTAGTGAAACACCCAACAATATTTTTTCTTAAATTTGCACAGCTTTCGACTTACAATGTGGTTCGGCTTGTAAAGTTTTGTTTAATTTAAATAGTTCTTAAAAAACTAAAAGAATTTGAAAAATTTATAATTTTTGTTATTTTATCAAAAAGTATCTAATTGCTCCCGGGACTTAATACAACTTTTTACCGGCTGCCCTGCAGGTATATAATCTATAAAAAAATGTTTAAACCGCTCAATTAAATATCTCGCAGTATATAAAAATCCTGAAGTTGCAAAAAAGTGCGCTTTGACGCATAAACAGCCGTTTATTTCACCCAGAGGTGGTATAAGTAAAAATACAAAATATCATAGATTTGGAAGAAGAATTGATAATCTTTTGATTCTGAAAGTTTAATCGAAGTAATTTTTGTTTAAAGGGGTAGTGAAACGAAATTTTAGCGCCGATCTTGTTGCATAAATATGGGCTAGGGACAGGCACCGATTCGGAAATATAAATATCGCGCTGTAAAACACAGGAGAACTAATTTTAAACATAATTAAACGATTTCAAATTCACATCTGGTGGATGGTGGGAAAGTTCTCGTGACATCACTTGTGGCATAGGAGCAGCGCCGTTCTGCGGCAATACGGCGTGCCGGCAGAATTCGCCTAAGCCTGAACGCGTTTGCAAAGCCTTGGCGGAGAAAGCCAAAGCGTAGTTGGCCACAGTGAGCTCGTTCTCGTTGCGGCTCTTTGCACGACACGACCCGAGCATGCTTCTGGCACGGCCGGTATTAGTTGCTGCGAGTCGCGAGCTGCGAGCCGACGTTAAGAAGGATATGTTTGAACTACGAGGGTGTCAGCAAGAGCCACGCAAATACCTGTTCACACTCGGAGCGGACACGCGCGTTTGATCGAAGTGCTGGATTCGCTCTGTTAGACCGCGTTTCGGTAAGCGCTTCTGGACCGATTTTTTACGATTGCAACTCGATACTGACATGACACTCGGCAAAGAAAGGTTAGACCGACATCGCGTAGCTCCCACGAAGTGCTATAGCTCGACAGTGACGTAGCGTCGTGTCAGAATACAAATGGCATACTAATAACAGTACATACTGAGTTGCGAAGGTAATCCGTATGGCGTTTATTTGAGCTCTATATCACACAAAACAATGAGATAGAATCAATGAGAGTCCCTTTTCGACGACAGTGTTCGTCACCGCTGTCTCGGAAAACAAGGAGATCGAGATGACAAGGGGAAAATATTGACTTCTCAAATTTATTTCAGGGATCAAACTACTCATCCGGGAAGGGTCCACGAGGGTCGCGCGGGCATATTCCATTCAGCAGGCCAGCCGGTCATGGACAGACGGTCTCGGCCAAGGACCGCCGGAGCAACGGTGCGCCGAGTCGATGTTGCTGCTAGGCCTACTATATTCTGCCGAGCTCGCTCGGTCGGCAGAATCGTGGCCGTTGTAGCTCTTCTCGTGTGTTTGTGGATCCTGCGTTCTTGATCGTCGTGGTCTGTTTTAAGTACTCCTTCCTTTTTTCTTGCTGGTTGAAGTCGGGACGCACGAGAAGAGCACGTAGAAAAATAAATGTCCGTTGGTGGCCGATACCAAGTAACTGAGCGACGCTGTCGGCCTTGTTGATTTGATCGTAAAAAGTGCGTAAGACAGCTTCGGAGCTGTCGTAGGATTCTGTCGTAACCTGCGCAAAAGTTACGACAATTCCGTTTCGAGAGTACGGGTTTTCTCTCAAATTTGTCGTACGCACTTTTTTCGTCGTGAGTTCGCTTTGAGAATCAGGCCTCAGAGCTGGTTTTGACAGTGCTGCCGTGGTTGCCGACCTGCCGTAATGCAGCGTGCGTGCAGCCCTTGCACATCTCAAACGGCCACGTTGTCACAGGTCATAAATCGTCGACGCGCCACCAAGTGGCAATGCTCGTAACCACAACATTCACGCCGTAGCCTTTCCAGTCTGGCACAAGTGACGTCACGAATGCGCCCAATATCCCAAGACGCATCGCGCTCTCCGATGGCCGATTTTTGAGCGCGCGCCCAATCGGGCCCCTTAGGGTGAAAAATATAGCCATCCGTTCAAAATACAAACGCGCGATTATGATTTATGAATATCATTGATCATATTGAACCTATTTCTGACCATAATAGGTGTATTTCAAGTTTCGCTTCAGTATCCCTTTAAAGCGAGAAAACGATTTTTGAAGTGGAACTCTCGCACCAGAATCCGGCATCACTTCTTAACGCCTCTTCGCCGCACAGCACGCCACCTGCGACGATAGCCGACACGATTAGGTCCAAAGAAAAAAATCAGTTTTCTACCACTTCCCCTTGTCCGTCTTTGCGGCTGCAAAGGAAGAAACGGCCGCGTATCGTGTAATAATCGGAGGTGCAGCCAGCGCGTAGCAATAGCAGGCTCGTTGTTTTTAAAAGTCAAAACTTTTAAAGATTTAACTTTAAAGTTTTAAAGTTAAAAGTACCGGCAATGATGGACAACAACGAAGATACTTCCGTATGATGAGCAAGTTAGCGGGAGATGCTACGGAGTTCCTCTGGTAAAGCATTAGACGCCATCTACCAACCAAGAAAGACAAGGTTCCCTCCCAGGCGGGCAAGTTCACAACCCTGGGTGATGTAACGATTCCACCGGATGTTGGCAAGCGGTTGGAGGTAGGCCCTAAGTTTTGCTACGAGCCAGTCATGAGCCCACCGGAGTTGGTCACACTAGCCAAGAGAGTAGCATGCCGGACAGTAGAGGAAAACCGACCAAGGTGCATCTCTGAGTGCGTGGATAACCTTCAGGTTCCGCAAAAAAGAGGACCAGTGGGACCGTCTAGGCCCTTGGTAGGATACATGGTCACTAATGGACTACGCGCACTGTTATCTGATAAGGAAGGACATTTCGTAGTGTTGCCAGATAGCCTGTACAACGAAAGGGCCATGGCAGCTATTGAGAAAATTTTTAGACCGGTGCAAGTCGCGCTGAAGAAAACCAGAGATAAAGCAAAAAATCTGTGTGAGCGGCTAGCGTTAACCCAGTTAGCCGCAAGAGTTGGGAAAGCGGAGCGCTTACATCTAGAGGTCTTCTTCAGCGTAAAGACACATAAAGAGGCTTGTCCATTTAGAGCCATCGTCACAGAAAAGGGATCGTGGCAAAAGCAAGTTGCTTCCTATCTTCAAAAACAACTGTCCGCCTTAAGCATTAGCGACCCCTTCCGGGTTGTCAATTCTGAGGAGATAGTGGAATATCTCCGATTAAGGGGTCCTGAGAAGAGAACCGGTTTCAGCATTGACGTGGAGAATCTTTTTTACTCCTTGCCACACGACCAGCTACTGACCTCGGTGATGGAGAGCTCGCTTTCCGAAGTTCCAGCGGAGTACCCATTGAGAGCTTTATGGAGCTGCTACATTTCTACCTGAAGTGGCTCAATCCTTTTGAATCCAATAGCCTTTCTTCCCTTCAAGTTTCTTGTACGGTGATGGAACGGCCGGGTCTTGTGCAAGCTTGCTTAGCATCCTATCCTCCCCACAGGTCAAAAGTGGTCACGGGGTGGACACGAACGACGTCAGAAAAGCCAGGGTGTCAAGCTGTCGGATGTCGCGATCCTGGCGGTTGGTGCTACAAGTCCCGGCACCAAGTACGAGGAATCGCGAGTGTCGCTGTCATCGCGGAGTTCCAACTCTTGTCTGCTCGAACTTCCGTGGACAATCAAGTTAAAAAGAATCCTGCAGCGGAACAGGCCGCTTTAATACGATGTATTAAATAAACTTGCTCAAACAAATCCCTACAAACTCTCGCCAGAAACTTTTTTTTTTTTTAAATCCCGCGGCGAATTTTTGTTTTGTATGTAACACGCTCACACTCCTTCCACTTTTAGTTACCCTATGGACGACATTAATAATGAGCATTGTAACGATACTGGCTGATTTATTAAGTTGGAAATCATTCTTAATAAAAAATAAAGTGCGAAAATAATTAAAGTAGCTAGCGCAGCTTATCACGGTCTTAAGGAAACAAAACACACGAGCCGCTTTTGCTTATTTGAGTATTAAACTGTAAAATACGAAAAAAGTAAATAAATTCTATCGCATTTTATTGTATCGTATATTTTGTTCGAAATATTGAGATGGACGCCGGAGCTCCCCTTCAAACAGAGATAGAACAAGTGGCGCCCTCTGTTGTCAGTGAGGAGGAACTGAGCCCTTCCCTTTTTAGCGCAGAAGACGCGAATGTCGAGCCACACGACGATACAGATTATACACGACTCTCTACGCACGACCTGTTTGTGCACACGGCCTAGAAACGTCCTCCCAAGAAAGTTATTGCACTGCTTAAAAATTAACGTTTCCTAAGTTGTTGTCATAACTGCATGTGCGTTTTTTTTTTTTGTTTCTTTTTTTGTTTTTTTTTATATACCCGCGTAGGGCAAGGCTGGAGGAACGGTGGAGTTTACGAAAAGAAAGGAAACATTACAACGTTGTGACATCGTCCTTTTTATATACAAATTATTAGTTGTTTTGTTTTCCTTACTCAAGGTGATTCACACACACACACAAAAAAAAAAAAAGAAGTAACCTCACGGACGGAGGATATTTCCCGGTTAGGTAGCCACTTGGGCTTGTTTGACCTCTGACATGACATCACGGTGTCACGCGACATCACGTGTTTTTTCAGTTGCGAAACTCCCCTACCTAGACGCTGCTTCCACCAAGTAGCGACCTAAAGTCTTTCACCGATGCCAGGGAATCTTTGTTGTATAGTCACCTCGGGGGGGGGGCGGGGGGGGGGGGCGGTTAGAGGAACACACTTGCTCTTGCAGCTTGCCTTTAAATTAATGACTTCGACAAGCATCGAAACGCAGACATAGCGTTCGCCTACGTCAGTCGAGCACTGCGCCAGAAATATACGTCCAAATAATTCCTTTTCTACCCATGGGTTTAGTTCTCAGCTCCTTTGTGAGGGCGCGGCGGTTGGACCTACTCTCCAAAGGGGTCTCAAAGCCCCCGTCAAAATCCGTGGGGGGTCTGAGATCCCTCGAGATCCAGCACTGCCGTCGTTCGACGTTTTACGGTATAGAGGACGGCAGCTATGGTTTGGTTTTGAAGCATAGCGTCTAAATATATGGTGCTTTACCGTAAACACTCCGAGGAATACGGTTTTGAAGCACATACTCCAGATGGCGCATCAAACGCCGGGTGGCGGAAGTTGCGGAACTCCCGCTCGTCCGCGGGAGTTCCGCAACTGAGTTTACGTTTCGTGGTAACGCCACCTGACGGCACGCCACCACGTGACTCCTTTGAACGGATTCGCCGTTCACAAGAGGCGATTGATAGATGGATGAACGGTTGAGAACAGCAACATCTCTAAATCCACCTGTAGATGTTACTGTTGTAGCCGAAGGCCGCCATGGAAGGCTGGTCCCAGGTCTCCATGTAGGCGTAGGCACCGGCCAGGATGAGCACCAGTCCCACGAGCCAGAGGAGCAGGTTAAGCACCACCAGCGGGTACCGGACGTAGGGGTTCACGTCGAGCAGGATGGTCGTCTCGCTCACCACAGGCTCCGTGGACACTGCCACGGTGCGATAAACACCCCGCGGGGACGTCGGTTCGGGGAACGCTGCAAGGATCGCCGTAAGCGACAGCTGTGTCAGCAACAACCGGGGTGACCTTACTGCTGGAAGTGGGCTGGAAACATTTTCCAAACACCGATTTGCCCAACGTTACTAGATCAAAGTCACTCAACAAGCTTCCTGGAATGCCTGGCGCCTTTTTTTATAGCGCGACCGCTAAGTCGCGGTCATTACACTTTAAGCCCAGCCCAGATGGACAGAAGCGACGGAACCGGTGGACCTTTGGACGGACATAGCCTGCGGTAAAAAAAATTTTCTATTGAAGTTTTTATGGAGAACAAAGTTCGTGCTAAATGAGCGTCGTTCAAAAACGGCCCTTCTCCGTTGCCCAGGAGAGCGGGGCCACCGGTGGCACTAAAGTCATTGGATACATACGGAGAGAATTCGGCGGACGGGTGGAGCTTGTGACCCGTTAAATCTAGCTAGAAGTTGACCTCGGCGATAACGCAAGATGGAGATGCGTTTGCCTTTCGCCAGGACACCATGAGCGAGTTTATATGTATTCGCGGTTACAAGTAGTGCTATGAAAACATTTTCTCGTTCATCGGCATTTTGTTACGCCTGTGACTGGTCACTGCATTCAAGGACCGCTCACATTTGTGGGAGACGAGAGTGGAAGGCGGGGCGGAGGGCACGTGACAGGCGGTCGGCGGAAGAGTCTCGAGCTGGCGCCAGGCAGAGCGTGCTGCGCGAGGCTGGGGCCGGGCAAGAATGATGGAGCCGTTCTGGCTGGTCTGGCCCTTGGCGATCCCCGGAGCGGTCCACCAGCGAGGTTCTGACCAAGACCAGGGGGAACGGCGAGCCCTGGCCATTCTGGCCTGGGTAATGACGATTCCCGAGTGGTTCCGCAGCGAGACTCGGGCTGTGATAACCCGGCAGAGCTAGCCTACGCAGCGCTGACGTGGGAAGGACGATTCGGAGGCCCGGACACAGACTCCGAATGCGAGCTCTGGGCGACGGGCGACAACTAGGGTCGGCGGGCCCGGAGTGCCGGCTCTCGAGGACGGGCAACCCGAAAGTACAGTAAGCCCATTCGCTGTCTTCTCGTTGTGCTGTGTCACTCCTTGGGAGACGAGCGAAGCGCAGACCGACCGGGTGGCGGCGATTGTAATAGAGCGAACCCCACATAAAAATGGCGCCCAACGTAGGGCCCGGTCGGTATGCCTCTGCTTCTGTACGTCCCCAGGGAGTCCCACGGATTCGTTGAGCGGGTTGTTCACTAACGCTAACGATGCCCGCTGAGACAAAGTCTGTTGAAATTTCGGCGACTTGCTGCACAGCAAGTTCAGCAGGTGTCTCCTCGTGACGAGTACCGAAAGGACTCGAAAGCCTAGGTTGCGGAAGCGCTGTCTCGAGCACCCCAAAATAGCGGTTGGGGGGAAATGATGCAACCGGGGGTTTACGAGGAGTGCGGGTCAGATGTAAGTAAGTTGCCTTCAGAGGCAGAGGAGAGGCACCGCATGTTCGCTGGAATGCAGGATAGCGACTGACAAGAAGGGAAACAGCCAGGACTCGTTGCAGGTTTAGGATTTGTTTTTATTAAGATTTAGGATTTAACACGAGAAGACAAATTTAGGAGTTTGGCTTGGGGTGAAGTGGTGAGCAAGTAAGCGCTTGTCGAGGCCCAGGGCGCGGACGAGATTGTCAACGGGTGTCGAAAAAATTGCGGGAACAGCAGTTGACACCGGGAACGCTGGCAGGCGAATAAGTGAGCACTACGATTTATATCTGCTCGACCAAGACAACTTGTTGCTTCGCGTCATCCCGACAATCAAAGTAGGGTAGAGGAACGACTCTCCCTTCAGGGAGGTCGTTCCTAGAAATCTACGGAGCCGATTTATAGGATGTTTTTTTCGACTTCACTCTGGCCGGTCGTGGCAGTAACAGCAAGACTTTTAGTCAGTTATGTTGCCTCACGACCTGGCTGGGGATGAGGCGGTAGACATTTAGGTGGGCTTGTAGCTGTCCAGCCTGCGTTGAGGCGCGAACGGTTCAGGCGGGCTTCCTCGCTGAATTGCCGCTTCCTTCGAGGGCCGATGAGTCCCTAGAGCCCGTTTACACGTGGATAGGACGGGACGCTGATGTTTACATCGATTCGCACACGGTATACGCGGTCGTTGCGGAGAGCGGATAGGGTATGGCCATCCCGCCGCGGGTTTTGAATACATTCGCCTGCGCAACAGTTCGATGGGGTTTACGCCACCGTTACCTAATTCTGAGAGAAACTCACACTCTGAACAACGCGGCTAGTGATTTTTCGACATCGCTGGCTCCGAGGTGAGAGGGCCCGAACGAGGTAAAGACGCAAGCGTCGTATATTACTTCTCAGCTTACTCGGTGAGATACAAACGAGGAGTCTGGCTCGGTTCACATCGCTGACTTGAATGTATACTACCGTCGCGATAGGAAAGATGATTAACATCAGGTTGCGGTAGGACACAGGAAATCCCCTGTTTCTGGCGACCCAGGAGCGAGCCCCGGAATGCGTACTCGCCGAGTTAGCCGCACGGTACAAGAACCCGTTGGCAAGCAATTTTGCAGTGGAGACTATGACCACTGCCACAATTTGCGGCAGAGCGTTCGTTCGTTCTGTTGTTTTAACAATTGTTCTGCGCAGAATGGCTTCTTGGAAAGACTACCATTGGCGGCGTCAACCAGAAAGTCCACCGGGAGGAAACACGGACCCATCCGTTTTCCCAAGTACTCAGGGTGGCTGACACTTGTTCGGCCTGACGAAGGGTTCAAGAGGGCAGTTCTACGCCCGCGGTGACCTCCAAGAGAAACGGGGCAGGTTCGTCAGTGTCGGGGAGACCAGCTTAGAGCAGGCCTTCTGCTGCATCGCGGTGAATGGGAGAGCCAGCGACGGACTTGTTGACATTGTCTGCCGGCTTCGCTAGAAGAGCCAGCTGATGCCGGCACCAAGAAAGACCGACGCCAAGGATCCCACCACCACCTACGCCACTTTCGGACGCTGCAACGTGGCCACTCCGGCAACAACCACAGCGGCCGCATCTCCGCCACCTCACACGGCCCTGACCAGAGTGTCCACTTGTCTTCCCAGTCCATCGACGTGGAAGAACTCCTCCCTGAGGTCCATCAGGTCCCGTGCACCGGAAATCCTCCGAACTCCAGCCCTTGGGGGTGGGGTGGGGGGGAGGGGGGGGGGGGGGGGGAGTTTGGGTGACGAGGATGGAAGACGACGGGGCAGAGGGCACGTGACAGGTAGTCGGCGGAACAGTCACGAGCTGGCGCCAGACAGAGCGTGCTGGGCGAGGCTGGGGCCCGGCAAGAATGGTGGAGCCGTTCTGGCTGGTCTAGAGCCCATGGCGATCCCCGGAGCGGTCCACTATCGAGATTCTGACCAGGACCGGGGGGAACGGCGAGCCCCGGCCATCCCGGCATAGGCCACGACGATCCCGGTGTAGTTCCGCAGCGTGATAACCCTGGAGAGCTAGCCTAAGCAGCGCTGGCGTGGGAAGGGCGATCCGTAGGCCTGGACGCAGACTCCGACTGCGAGCTCTGAACGACGGGTGACAACCAGGATCGGCAGGCCCGGAGTGCCGGCTCTCGAGGACGGGCAACCGGGAAGTAAAGTAAGCCCATTCGCTGTTTTCTCGTTCACGTATCACTGCCAGGGAGACGAACGACGCGCATACCGATCGGGAGGCGGCGATTATATATAATAGAGCGAACCCCACACATTTAATCGATCTCCAATAAAAAAGAAAAGAAGACTTACAAATAAGTTCTTTTTTTTAAACAGGGAATAAAAAACGGTAATATTTTTGGAGATTTTTGCAGATAACCTTGATGAAAAATCGTACATATGGACGGATGGTAATGGCTATAGCCTTTGTAATGGGTGGCAGCTTGAGCCACCTAGCCTAATATTTCATCATCCTTTCTTTTTTTTATAAATTTTTATAAATTTTGTTCTAACCAACCTCCCCCCCCCCTTTAAAGTATTTCAATTTTTTTCATTTATATATGTATTTTTACCCCCCCCCCCCCCCCCCCCACTGATCTTTTCCACCAATCTTCCAATCTCCTCTTAGTTACGGCAATTCTTTCCCTACCCATTCGTCCATCCATGACTGCGAATCCCAGTGCCACCTCCGAATCCGTAGTCACCCCCCCCCCCCCCCCCCTAAGAGGGTAGGACGAAGCCCCTCGCACTTTAAAATTATATGCTCTTTAGTTTCCCTTTTGCGTTTTTTTTTTGTTTTTTTTTTTTTTCATATGTTGTATACAGTATCTATTTCCTGGAATTTAGCCCTATATGTTTTCGTTCTTAGCACCCCCGTCCGAGCTTCAAACAGCAATGAGCTCCCCAATGAACTATCATACCAATGTTCCTTCTTTATTTCTTGATTTTGTGCCCTGTATATTGTGAAAGCTGATTTCCCCTGCTATCTCTCTTCCCACAATATCCTCTGTTTCCTTTACTCCTTTTCTACTGATATGCTCTGATCTGCCCCATCTCGTTGAATGTATTTAAATCTCAGCTTGCGGGTTCGGTTTGTCCACTTAGTGTTTAGACATACTTGTACACTTTCGCTGCCCACCGTGTATCATAAATTTCAGGCTGTCTTTGTTCATATTTTACTTTACTGATCGCTTCTCTACTTTTGAAAGATGGCCAACCCATATCTCCCTGTACTCCCTCATTTGGTGTATTCCCATGTGCCCCCAATGCCAACCTACCCAGACTCCTTTGTTGTATCTCTGAACCTGCCTGGATTTCTGACCTCATAAACAATACCGCATTCACAAATGACAGTCCTGGCACTATGACTCCCTTCTGCACACCGCTAACAACTAATTATATATATATATATAAATTATAGTTTCAGAGTGCCCTGTGTTTCATGATAGCGGAGTCTCGTTTCCCCTTCTTTATTACAATATCTTCATGTTCTTTTACATACCTTCTTCTCTCACTTAACCATATGTTTTCCAGCCAGCATGCATAAGCAATTATTTTTTG